CCCTGGGAATGTGGGGCAGGATTGGGAGTAGAGGCGGGGTGCGCCTTGAGGAAGGCCGAGAGAGAAATGAAGGTTGGGGAGAACTAGTGATAAGAATAGGTGGGGATCCCCTCTGTCCTCTAGAGGCGATCTGCCTGGCATGGCGAGGAACTGTCAGTCTCAGGAGAATGGGGGGGGGGGGGGGCAGCAGGAACGAGGCCAGTAAAAGGGCAGAAGAAGGGTCTTTTTACCTGCTTAATTTTCGCCTTGCCCTCCGTCCAAAGAGGGAGGGTCTTGAAGGGGGTGATTTGCGGGGAAAGGGGGACGAGATGGGTTTCGCGAAGGGGCTATGTTTGCGTGAGGCACCTCTCCGAATGCCAGCTCCCTTCTGGCACCCCTCTGAATGGCAGCCCGCAAGCAGGGTGACCCGTAGAGAGGAATAATCTTGAGACACGGAGGATCAGGGTTGAAGGTTGCGAAGGGGTGTGTCGTTGCGTATTTCTGGTTGAAGGGGGAGGATTGTCAAAAGGGCAGAGGAGGTTTCTAAAGTACTGTGGGGTGGAATTGTTGGTGAGCCCAAGTCTATGAATGGGGTCATTTGTGCTGAGGAATGGTATATAAAAACAGAACATCGGAGAGTGGGGGAAAGATCCATGTGTGTGTAGAAAGGGAGTTAATATATACACCCGGTTGATGCTTCCCTAAGAGTGACTGTGATACACGTGATGAATACAGAACTAAGGCTCTTGGGCAAGATCACACCCCCATACCGTTTTAATGCTCCCAGGGCAGCTGTTGCTTCTGGGTTGCTTTATGTCTCCTTTCTTCTCCTTTTCTGTAGCGACTTTGCGTTAAGCCCTCAGTCTAACCAAAATGAAGCCCAAGTCTATTGTTGTATTCATGTCTTTTTTATTTTATTTGTATACTGCCCCCCCCCCCCAGTTGGGGCCCATGGCAATTGGCAACAAATTAAATGTTGTAATAACATATACAAGATAAATATTGTAATAACATATAATTGCTTGGGTCTTGCTTTGGTGTCTCCTGTTCTTCTCCTGGCTTTTGAATTTTTACTTTTGAAATTTAGTTTGTAAACTTCTTAGAGCAGAGACCTTTTCTTTCTCTGTGGGCTGATGTTACTGTGTCAAGCACCATGAACTTATAATGATGCCTCATCCTGAGTCAGGGAATTGGTCCACAACATAGCTCAGAATTGTCTGCTCTGACTGGCAGTTGCTCTGCAGGGTCTTAAGCAGGCGTCTCTCACGGGTCTGTTTTCCTCGGATCCTTTTAACTAGCTGTATTGGGAATAAACCTGGAACCTTCTGCATGCAAAGCAGGTGCTTTACCACTGAACTACATCTACTGCTGTTTCTCTTTCTGCATAAACGTGCTCCTTTGCTACTTGCTCTCTGCTGTCACACATTTTACGTTACATAAGCAGTATGCTTTCTTCTTGAGCATCTGCGATGGCTCATACATTAATTGTTGTATATTGCAGGCTGATGAGGCAATGAGTGTCTTGCAGGAATGACCTGAAAACCTCTCATTTTTCATACTGGGAGGGATACAAAGGGAGGTAAAGAAGAAAGATCCTCTCTCTGAACTCCCTCTCTCTCTGAACTCTCCTTGTGCAGATCTGCGGAAGCAGGCTCGGCAGCTCGAGAATGAGCTGGATCTCAAACTCGTGTCCTTCAGCAAACTATGCACGAGCTACAGCCACAACAACTCCCGAGAAGGAAGAGCTGACAGATATAGGTGCTTCTTTGCTTTAAATGTGAAATATCCTTTTAAAAACTTTGAACATTCTTGATCTCTTTGTTACTCCTTTTTTTGAGATTTGCTTGCTTTTGATGCTTCTGGATTGTTAAACTATTTCAAAAAGCTTAGTTTCAGAACCTGTCAGCCTCATTGAGAGGGCCCCCACAGGAGACTTCTCCCCAGTTGTGTTGCTGTCTTGCAAATTGGGCTGTGGCTCACGAAAGCTGATGCTGTAATAAATTTGTGAAGATTTTGAAAGGTGTTGTAAAAGGAGTGCTGTTTTAGCTGCAGCAGACTGGCCCCTCTGGGCTGCTTGATACAGCCCTTGTAAGCCATGCTATACTTTAAGGATTGCCCAGTGTTGCTTTCCTTTCCATTAGGGGAAACATAGCTAGTTATGTCCCTTTAAGGCCAGGAGAATCTATGTGTACATGTTTCCTCTGAGTACAAGCCACATGCCTGGATACTTGCCCCAGTGAATGAGAGCATGGCGAGAATTGAACCCCTCGTATTTGGCCACTGGGTCCAATATTTCTCAAACCATTGCCAGTGTGGTTCATAAGTAAAAAAATTAAAATGGGTCTGAGCCTCCCTCAAATTTGCTCAAAAGTCACAGGCTGTTGGTTGTTTCTACCCTGGAACTTTGGGAAAGGCAGAATGAAGAAAAACTCGGTCAGGGGCTCTTTCTTCATTCCCCTGACCCACTTTGTGACTTTTGAATGCCATGAAGGCTGCTGTTTGGGGAGGGGGGACTTGCAAGTGTAAACAAGATGTCAACAGAGCTCTGTAGGTTTTCTGTGTGTACCATGTGGCTTTTGGAGGCCGAAGTACACTTTCCTGTTCATCTCCCTCTTGCCTGCTTCTCGTTCTCCACTCAGCTCTGACACAACTCCTCTCCTGAATGGATCAAGCCAAGATCGAATGTTTGAAACAATGGCTGTGGAAATTGAACAGCTCCTGGGGAAGGTAAGCAGAATATTGGTCTCAGGTGAAGCATAGTAAAGGTAAAGGTAAAGGTTCCCTTGCTCGAAAGCCAGTCGAATCCGACTCTAGGGTTGCGGTGCTCATCTCCGTTTCAAAGCCGAAGAGCCAGCGGTGTCCGAAGACGTTTCCGTGGTCATGTGGCCGGCATGACTAAACACCAAGGCGCACAGAACACTGTTACCTTCCCACCAAAGTGGTACCTATTTATCTACTTGCAATTTCTTGCTTTCGAACTGCTAGGTTGGCAGGAGCTGGAACTAGAGACGGGAGCTCACTCCGTCATGCGGCACCTGGGTCTCGAACTGCTGAAGGTGAAGCACATGAGTATGTTAACAGTTGTAATGCTTCAAAAGTGTGCTTTGAGGATACCAGCTGTGTTTTGTTGTAGCACAATATTGCATTGGGCCCCAAAGTGAATGTGCTTCCTTGGGAGGTGTCCTCTTTGTTTCTCTGCTTTAGGAGGCTGAACTCACTGCTGCAGTGTTGTTGTTATGGAGCTCAGCTCTTCACTATTTTTTTAGTAGATTTCTGGAAGAATGGGAAAATATTGGGGAGAACTGAAAATCAAGAACTGTGAAATATTCTCTCTTTCAGAATGAGTGAAATGTTTTTGAAGACACTGTTCTGCTCACTCAAAATGAAACCTTTTATGTTAGGCAGCCAACAGCATTAGATAATGATAATTTCTTATGTATTGTTGTAGACATATACAACTCTTCAAGGATATGTTTGTTTGAAAGTGAACAAGTATGTAACAGAAAAATATTCTTAAAGAGGTCAATGTTATAAAGTTTACCTTGGTATTGAGACATGGTGGTAGTCCTACCAGTTGTGACTCTGAGTACCCTTTTTGCTTTACTACAACGTTTGTTTTCTGATTTCAACTTTTATTTTTTCCCCTACCTCTCAGATGGCAAAAACTAAGATACATGTACTAAGGGAGCACTGCAGTTTGCAGTGATCTCTCAAGTATTAGTTGTATTGGTAATTTAGCTTGAAGAATACTAAGGCATACTGAAGGACTCTGAATTGTGCCTTTGAGAACTTTGAAATGGGATGATCGGGGGTACTGTTTTTAGACAGTTAAATTTTAAGCTTTAAAGGAAAAGTACTATAAATGTTTGACTCAGTTTGTAATGGGATTAATGATGGGAAGACTTGATGTAATTAAGCTAGTAGGAGGATCCTCCTCTCTTGGGTTTTTAGTTAGTAGTGGGTTCTTTACTTTATCTCGTAATGTAGTTTCCCTTCCTTTTTCTTCTGTTATAGTTTTTGTAGTGATATAAAAAAAATAATAAAATATCCCCTCCGGGGGCTCAAAAAAAGAAGAAGAATACTAAGGCATTTATACTCTTAAATTCCCTAAATGTGCCAGTTAGTACAATTTTATATGCTTTGTTATAAACAATGCATTGTATGTTGTTAATGCAGCAAAATAAATTCATGTTTGATATGAAAATGTGTGCATATACTTCAGTTTTCCCCCAAATATAATTTTTCTTTTTGGCAAAAAACAGAGATCGACCATGGCAACAACATTTCTTGAAATTGATATTTCAAGTTTTGTGTTAACAATCTGTGGTTTGGTCTTGTTGCATTAGTGGTGAGGAGGTGTAGCTTTAAATGTTCTCATCTCTGCTTTGAATTAATTGGCTTAGGCTGGACACTCTGCATGCACTCAGACAATAATTATGACATTGTTACTACACAGAGAAATCTCTGTCTGATCTACCAGCAATGGGTATAATCCCAATTTATTCAAAAGCCCTAATTTGTCAGTGTCTTCTTTCCTCTCTACCTCCTAGCAGACAGGACTTCCTCCCATTGTCTCTGGAGCCACGTGGCAATGTGGGGACAGTGATATTGAACAAACTGTCATTTGTGAATTCAGATGCCACAACAGACCACAATTAGTGCAAACTGTGGATAACAATCCAGCTACAAGCCCTAGTTTGTAATCCTGGTTTGGTGCCAACTAGTCTGCATTTAACAATCACAAATAACTTAGATTTGTTCAAACCATGTTTTTTAACTGTTACAATAAGCAGCCTTGAACTATGAGGAAAGGCATGGTATAAATGTTTCAGTAAATATTGTATGTCTGAATATAGCCTCTGACTCCGTCTCAACAACTGGAGGATAATGACATGGCCTACTGTGCAGTGTTGTAAACACTATGGAGACTTCTCTAGGTTTTAGTCTTATTTAGAATGGGCCTTAGACGCATGATGGATTACACTGCACTGCTTCTGGTGTGCTGGGGACAGTCTGAGTATCTCTTGTGAAAATGCTCGATGCAGGTGGCCTTTCTGATCAAACACACACTTAACATTTCCTACAAGGCAGCTGAATCATTTTATGCTCTCTGCCACAGCTTACAGGGATAAATGACAAAATGGCCGAATATACTAACAGTGCAGGAGTGCCATCCCTGAACGCAGCTCTGATGCATACCTTGCAGCGGCACAGAGACATCTTGCAGGTAAGAAATCAGGGCAAGATATATTCTTTTATTTATTTATTTATTATTAAATTTAGATCCCACCCTCCCCAAAGCGGGCTCAGGGCGGCTAACAGAAGAGGCACGTATGCCAAGGTTAAAACAGTTAAAAACGGAATAAAATTCTCTATCTTCCAGGAGATGCATTGCCTTTTTTCCATTTCTTTGTTGTTTTTCTCTGCATGGTGTAACCTGTCCCATCAAGAGAAGTCTAGTTCTGGATCTGTCCTTATTTCAGGGAATCATTTAAAATGGTCTTAGATTCTTCCTTGTGTTGTCAGAAGTAAGGGTGCAGTCTTCCTGGAAATTGCCCAGCATAAGGGCTGTTGAAATGAGCGGGACCCACACAGAGGGGTTTTATTCCTTCTTTCATAAACTAAGAAAGCAGAATCACTCTATAAAACCGATTTCGAAATTTACTTTGTCACACGGTTCATGGGTGACTTACGGAATTCACTTGAACAGTTCTGTGTTGTTGTTTTAAAATGCTTTGACAAATTTGTGGAGGGAAAGATTATCAATATAGAACCTCCTCTGATGATGGAGGCTCTATATTGCAATTCTGGTTAGATTATTCTAACCAGAATTGTGATATAGAACAAGATTCTGACTAGACGCTTTACTGACTAATGGCATATTTTGGGCCTTGTTGCCGTTAGGCCAAATCTCTTCACTGGGATTGCGCAGAGGTCTTAATGTGGTTTGAATACTTGTTTTCTTGCAGGACTACACGCATGAGTTCCATAAAACCAAAGCAAACTTCCTGGCAGTACGGGAAAGAGAGAATCTTTTGGGGTCAGTCCGGAAAGATATTGAGTAAGTTCTGCTGCTGATTGTGGTGTGGAACGTTAGACTGTCCCCCCCAAAAGAAAGTTTTATAGCCCAGTTCCTCCTCCTCCTCCTTTGATGTTACCTACTTTGCCATACAGCAGGTTGCAAAACTGCATACAGTCAACACTTTGTTAGTCAGCCTCAATGGGAAAATGGAGTTGCTGGTTAACCAAAAATGCCGACTAAGCTTGTACTGCAGCCATGGCTGGGACCCAATACCTGCTCCTCTGTAGCCTAAGAACAGATGGAGGAGAAACAGCAACTCCCAATGGGCCCATAGCCATGCCCCCCGGCAGCATAGCAGGTGGGAGGTGGCCACAAAATATACCTCCTCCTGTCCCATACCACTGATCAGCTGTTTGGTGGGTCCGGATTTGAAGGGGTGGAACTCTGTAGGGCTTGACTCTTTAAATCCCCACCTGCCACACAGCTGATTGAGAGCAAGGAGGAATGGTGGGATCTTTACCATGGGCTCTGCCCTCTTCTCTGACAGCACGCTGGTTCACAAGAGTTCTTGGGTTAACCATGTGATAATACAGCTTTTGCTGTATTGAAATTAGACCACTTAGAGCAGAACTATTTGGTGCTGGCATACCTCACCTGTTGCTTTGAGAGGTTGTTGTGGTTATGAAGCTGAGGTCTGGGTCACACATGGAAGATTATGAGATGATAGAATGGATTTATGCCAGACTACATTTGGAGGGTCGTGTTTTGGAATGCTACCCTATGTTAAATTCATAAAACAGGCAAAAAGAGTGGGGGGGGGGATAAACTTTACTCTCTTGCTCTGCTGGTTTTCTGTTTCCAGGGAGATTTTGTTTGTTTTAAATGCACAGGCACATTAAAAGTTAAAATCCCACTGTGTGTAGCATCAAGGGTTGCAGTCTATTCTGCCACTTCAGGACTGGACCACTTTATTATTGCCTTCTTCACCTGCATGTGTGAACCAGGCCTTGAGCTGTGAACGACCAAACTTCCAGCACAGGTTTAACCCGAGCTCTGAATTCCCTGGGTGGCTGTTGGCAAGCAGCCCCTCTTCATAGGAGAAGAATTATGCCCCTTTCCCTGGGGTGCTTTTTGGGATGCCTGTCTGTATGCCAAAGAGCTCAGCCTGAAGCTTCAGGATCTGCCGTACGGATCTTCCCTCGTGTAAAAAGTATTCCGAAATTCAAAGTGGAAGGTTTTCTCTTTGCTCCAGTTTGGAACGCCCCGATCTCTTTGGCAGGCTGTGGAGATTCTGGGTGCAGATTTCCCTTCTGTGGCTGACCGTTCACTTTTCCTGCTGCAAGCTTGGGATTGCAATGGCTGGTTTCAGAAAAGATCCATCTAGCAAGCTGATTTGATCCTCTGTAGTACCCACCCCTTTGACTTGAAGACAACCACCAGGTCTTCAGGGTGCCACAACATGTTTTGTTGCCTGAAGGGGTAACCCCCAAACTCTCAGCATTTTTTGGCGATATGGTAGAGGTCTTCATCTTCAGGACTGGTTTAGCCAGCGGAAGGTCTTTGAAGGAAAGCAGCAAAAAGGAACATGACTGTAGCTCTAGCTCTTACTGCGCTGTCTTCTCCTTTTGTAGTTCCAATCTTCAACGTGGTCTCTGTGCTTCACACCCATGGGATCTAGTGCGCACGCACTGGATCGATCGGTGCTGTAGCAAGCTCTTTTAACGGATTTTCGCGCCCAGTCCTTTCTGCATTGTGTTTCTAACTTCTGTACTCCTAGTCCTATTGCTCTGATGCACCTAAGTTGCTGAGCCATGAGACAGACAGACGGGAAAAAAGCAGACCTGTTGAAGGGAACTTGGTCAGTGCTGCTGTCCGAAGTAGGAAGGAGCCATCTTAATGAGCCCTTTGCCTTTTTTCCCCCCCTCCCTAGAAAGAGCCTGGGAAAAGGGAGCCAGCGTGGTGTAGTAGTTGGATTTGGTGAGAACTGGGTTCAAATCCATTAAGCTCAGTGGGTGATCTCGAACAAGCCCGATCTACATTACAGGATTGTTGTGAGGATAAAATGAAGGCGAGGAGAACCGTGCATGCCACATGGAGCTCCTTGGAGGAAGGGCGAGACAAAAATGTGCTAAGTAGGAAGGATTCTGTCAGAGTTTCTTTTGTGAGCCAGACAAAAAAGCAGGAGGTTAAGAAGTTCTTTGTTGGCGTGTGTGATGGGGGGGGGGGGCTGACTATTCCTGTGCCAAAGGTGGGGGCAAAGTCAAGCCCACAGGTCACCAGACGCCATCGCTTCTTTGCTGTCAAAACGTGGCCACACGGATCTCTGTCTGCTTGGGGGCAGTTGAGTAGAAATGATCCTTATGAGGAGGAGCAGTCCTTTGTCTTCTGCTTCACTTCTTGTTCTTAACCAACCTTTTAGGTCATACAAGAGTGGGTGTGGTGTGAACAACCGGCGAACGGAGCTGTTCCTGAAGGAGCACGAACACCTTCGGAAGTAAGTCTTGTTACTGTTTTCTTTCTTTCTGTGGGCCTCGTCCTCAAAGTGAGCTTGGGGGGGAGATACTCTGCCTCTGCAGTAGCTGCCATTGGTATGAAGAGGCAGACTGAATTACACTAAGACATTAACAGACTAAATTAATAAAAATTGTGGCTCTCCGAGAACAATCCAAGGAAGATGGCGAAGGGTCTGTAAGAGGTAAAGGTAAAGGTTCCCTTGCTCGAAAGCCAGTCGAGTCCGACTTTAGGGTTGCAGTGCTCATCTCCATTTCAAAGCCGAAGAACCAGCGCTGTCCGAAGATGTTTCCATGGTCATGTGGCCGGCATGACTAAACACCATGGCGCACGGAACGCTGTTACCTTCCCACCGAAGTGGTACCTATTTATCTACTTGCAATTTCTTGCTTTCGAACTGCTAGGTTGGCAGGAGAAGGGTCTGTAGGCATCTGCTAAAATGTTCAAGATGTTGTTTTCATTAAGGAATGTTCTTAATTGGCTGGGGTGGAATATTCAGAATCCAGCTCTTAACAGTCAGTGATGCTCTATCAACACATCTCAATCTCAACATGCTGAGAAATATTAAGACATGGATGCCCGAGGAGGCAAAGGCCCTGCTTTCTGCTGTAATATGGCTGGAATAAACCTCACAAGGGACTCTCTCTTTAAATGCTGGCCTTGCCCATAGGTCACATAGGGATGTTTCTGCAGGAGTCCCTCCCTACCACCAAATGGCAGATTCAGAAGCAGTCACACTGCCCTCAATCTGGAATGCCTAGGTGACAGTTTGAGATTTTGGAATCTTAAGTAGGGAGAACTGTTACATGGGTATTTATTAGCACGTCCCCTACTCTAGAATAGATTCCTCTATCTCAATATTGATAGATGCTAATGATCTTATAGTGTTTGATCATGTATGATAATATTATGTCGTAATTCCAGTACAGAATGGAGCAAGGGGAAATCTTAGTGATTAGCTCCCTCTTTACATTTAGATCAAAGGCAATAATCAAGCCACCGAAGAATAGAAACCTGTAGGTTCCGTGGTTAGTTCAGTGATTCTTTGGGATTCTTTGGGATGCATTTAAATACCACAATACCACATGGCTCACCGCTATGGTTGCCAACCTCCAGGTGGTGCCTGGGGATCTCCCGGAATTACAAGTCCAGACTACAGAGATCTTTTCCCCTAGATCTGCTCTGAAAGCTGGATTCAACAGTATTATACCCCACGGTGGTCCCTCTTCTTCCCAAACCCTCCCCTCCCCAAGCTTTACCCCCAAATATCTGGGAACTTTCCAGCCCAGAGTTGGCAACCCAACTCATTGCTGACCAAAGGCACTGAGCTCTTTACGGAGCCCTCACCTGTTTGCCCACCGTGGTTCCTTCTTCTGCTGCCGCTTGTTTTGGCTGGCATCTGATGGAGTGTGGGCATAGCTGGGACAAAAAGGGGGGGGGACACTGAACCTAGAAACCTGGGATCCAGAACCTGAAAAGGTTAGTCAAATAGAAAAGAGGGCCAACAATAAAAGCTTAATATATCTATAGTATATAAAAAGATACATGTATTTATTAACAAAGAATCTTAAAAATATATAAGGGCCCAATCGCACCTCATGTAAAAATACCAGAATCTAACACACAAGGGCTAATGGACTTGACCTGACGCATTTCGGCCTGCATAGGCCTTCTTCAGAGGTCAAACACCGTGAGGAACATATTGGCTTATATAATAGTACAGTACAATCATACAGATATAAAATGTAAATACAAGAAGGACCAGAAAAAAGTTGTTTCAAAATGAAACCACTAGGCACAGAATAGAAGTACAAATGAGGCCTCCAAAGATGCAGTCACATGCCAAGTGGTGTTTCACTGGTAATAATTTGTGGTCCAGAAAGTGCCTTCCTATGATTGCTTAGCCAAAGTGTCCTCAATAGAATTGTCCTTAGGCAAAGAGCACAAAATCCCAAAGAGAGATGCCCTGTTCATGTTGAAATATCTCTACCCCAATTCCTGGAAATAATTTTTCAGCATGCCTTGATTAAAATTTGGGGCAGCCACCAGGCTGTGGTGGGTGGAGGGAGAAGACACATAGAACAGTTGGCCTCGAATCTCTTCAAGTGAGTAGCGGTGCTGTGGATTAACTACCAAAAGACACCAGTCGATAACTGAATCCGAGATCAGAGGCTGCCAGGATTTATCTCTGTGCGGGCATGCACAAGGGGGCGCCATTTCCTCGTAAGTTCTCTCTGCTGAATACCGTTTTGTCACTCTGTACTGGAAGGTGCACAAAAAACCCAGGAAATTGCTGGTTTTGTCTGCCTTTGGGGGAAGGCTAAGGAGTGGGCTAGAAGCACACAGCAGTTTTCTGTCCCGTGGTTTCCTTTGGCTCTGCAGTAGCTTTCTGCAGGTGCCTGGAAGACTTGCAGGTTCACTGGGTAGCTTTTGCTCAGTTTGCCTCTGTTGCTGTAAATTAATCATGGCTGAATGTGGTTAAATTTCAGATAAGGGAGTCGTGGGTTTTAAAGTCTCGGAGCTGAATGCTGACCTTTCAGGGGGTATGTGTCCACGGGTGGAACATGCTCTGCAAAATGCTGCGGGTGTTACCTTGGTGCCTCGACATGGGTAGCCCAGGCTAGCCCATATTTTTATTTATTTTTATTTACATTAGACTTGATATCCCGCTCTTGTCCCATGGCTAGGGTCACAGAGCGGCTTACAGGGTTTCTGGTGCTAATCACCTGTGTTCCTAGCTAGGGCCACAATGTATGAAGGGGGGGTGGGACAACCTACTGGCACCCCCTCTGTGGTGGCTATTGCTGTTTCTCCGATTGGCTCGGCATGGTCGGGTCTCCTGGTCCAGCGGGTTGTTCTTTCTCTGGCGTCTCCGGCGTTCAGTGGTGGCGATCTCCTCCTTAGGCGCGCAGCTCCGCCTACTTTCTGGCCCGGCCACGTCCTTTCCGGCTCCGCTGAGCTGGAACTCGGCATCTGCGCACGCCCCTTTCTTTTCTCTTCACGGCAGCCCTCAGTGTACTCCTTCTCCGCCGCCAGGGATCTCTCAAACGCGCACCTTGCCTTGCTCGCCGCACCACCAATGCCGTCCACGCCAGGATCGCCGCCATCGTTGCCGCCACTGCTGCCGTCTCCGCTATCTCCACCATCTTCAGCCGACCACACAAGGTGCCCCCCACCCTTCTAAGGGTGGGTACCCATTTACCTACTTGCAATTAGGTTGCTTTCGAGACCGCTGGGTAGGCGGGAGCTGGGACGAAGGTTGAGAGCTCACCTCGACCGCGGTGGTACTTGAACAGCCATAGTGGCTGCTCGGGTGATGTTATAGTGCAGGCGTTTAACTGCCTGCGCCACCGCCCAGTCTTGTCAGATCTCAGAACCGAAGCAGGGTTGGCCTTGGCTAGTATTCTGGATGGCCTCCTTCCAAGGAATACCAGGGGCGTGACACAGAGGCAGGCAATCGCAAACCACCTCTGAAGCATCTCTTGCCTTGAAAATTTTGGGAGGTCTCCGTAAGCCAGCTTCTCGCATACCTGTATTTGAAGCTAAACATATTCCGGGGGAGGGAGGGGGCTGGTCAGATTAACTCGGACCATAAAATTAGTGCCCCTTCTACTCCTAAATAATTGTATTCAGATTTTTTTTTAAAACTGCAAAGGGAGGTGGAACCCCAACAGCTTCTTGTCAGGTGGAACAATGTGTGTTTGTATGAAATGGGGCCAGAGAATGCATTCTGTGAGAAACCTAAATTCCTCTCTTGCTCTCTGCCACCCTCCAGCTTTCTATATGGCACAGGGAGGAAGTAAACAGACCAGGCCCATAGCTAGGAATTTGGGGGGGATGTGGGGGTGCTGGGGGGGGCGCTAAATGAATTAATTTAATTAAGGCAGCTGTGGAGGGAGAGGGGCAGCCTCGCCGGGTCTTCCTGCTTCTACAGCCGGCTTCTCAAAGCCCCTCTCCCTCCTTTTCTGCTCGGAAAGCTTTGAAAGGAAGCATCAGGAAGAGCCAGCAAGGTCACATGACTCCCCCCCCCTCGGCTGTTGTCTTGGTTCCCCTTCCATCTCTCCCCCTCGGTGCACCAGTGGGCGCCTGCCCTGCGCTCGCCTTGCCCAGCACAGCTCCCGTGGGAGCCTCAGCAGCAGCCATGAGCCAGGCAACTTCCCCGTCTTTTCCAGCCACCTACGTCAGCATCAGCCCCTGCCTATGATGATACGATAGGAGGCACCACCTGCTGTACCCCTCCGCTGGCTACGGCCCTGAAACACACACCCACACACAAAAAAACCCCATTTTCTCCTTTGAACTGTTCTGATTCAAGGTTAGGTGAGCCATTTTCTGCTGTCCTCACCCTGAGCAGCCATCAGGGGAAATGTAGGGAAGCTCTAGGCTGCTGAGATTCTGGGTGAGGTGAACTGGAGCGCCATGTTCCTTGCAGGAACATAAGAACATAAGAGAAGCCAGTGTTGGATCAGGCCAATGGCCCATCTAGTCCAACACTCTGTCACACAGTGGCCAAAAATACCAGGTGCCATCAGGAAGTCCAGCAGTGGAGCCAGGAGACTAGAAGCTCTCCCACTGTTGCCCTCCCACCAAGCACCAAGAATGCAGTGCATCACCTGCCCCAGCCTGAGAGTTCCTATCTATACCTTGTGGCTAATAGCCACTGGTGGACCTCTGCTCCATATGTTTGTTTGTTTGTTTATTCCTTCGATTTGTAGACCGCTCACCCCCTAAGGGCTCTGAGCGGTTTTACATATACAATTTATTACAATCTCTTCCTAGGGCCACACACATACAGTTGAGGGGGAATTGACTAACCTAACAGGCACCCATAGCGGAGTCTTTGTTGTTATAGTCTCTTTTTGCGGAAGGTCTTTTCAATCCGGCGTCGCCGTCTTTTTTCTGGCACAGGTCTTCCTCTGGTCGTCGCGGCTCCTTTCCAGGTATGGGCCATAGTGCACGTCTGCGCATGCTCCCGCAGCCGGC